CAAGTGCCCACGCGTGTAAGGCCTTCACTCCTCAGCTCGTTGAGCTGTATAAGAAGCTGCGCGGCGAGGGAAGGAAGCTGGAGTGTGTCTTCGTGAGCTCTGACCGCAGCGAGGATTCCTGTCTCGCTATTCTACTATCTCAATGCCGTGGCTAGACCGATGCCGTTTTCATTGGCGACGCGCGCATACGCCCGCTAATCAAACGCTCTACGTGTCGAAGCGTGTGGTAAGTGCTGCGTGCGTCCGCTGTGCGCCGTGTGTGTGTATGTGTGTGTGCGTGTGTGTGGCTGTGTGTGTGTGTGTGTGTGTGTGTGTGGTGTGTGGTGCGCGGGTGTATGTGTGTGTGCGTTGGTGCTGTGATTGTGTGTGCAGTGTGTGTGTAGTGTGTGTGCGTGTGACCGTCGTGTGTGGCGTGTGTGCGTGTGTGCGTTGCGTGTGAATGCGTGTGTGCTGTGCCGCGCACTGGTGCGTGGTATCGCGTGCGTGCATGCTGCGTTTGCTTGCGTGTCGTGCCGTGCTTGCGTACGTCGATAGCGTGTCGGCGGCAGTGCGTGGCGTGCGTGCGTGGATGCGTCGCTGAGTGTGGTGTGTGTGGTGTGTGTGTGTGTGTAGTGTGTGTGGGGTGATGTGTGTGGTTGTTTGTGTGGAGTGATGTGCGTGTGCGTGTGAGTGGCGTGTGCTTGCGTTGCTCAGTTAGCGTCGTGCATGCGTGTGTTGTGTTGAGGGAAGAAGTGAGAGGGGGGAGTGATGGAGAGGAGTTAGAGGAGCGTGAGTGAGGGAAAGGAGTTAGAGGAGGGTAGGGGATAGGAGTTAGAGTGAGGTATTGAGGGAAGGGATTAGAGGAGGGGACGTGAGGGAAAGAGTGGAAGGAGGGGATTGAAGTGAAGAGTTAGAAGGAGAGGAGTGAGGAAGCGGATTAGGGAGGAGAGTGAGGAAAGAGTTAGAAGGGCTTTAGTGAAGAAGGAGTTAGAGGAGGGGAGTGAGGAAGGGATTAGAGGAGGGTGTGAAGGAAGGGAGTTAGAGGATGGTTATTGAGAAGGAGTTAGAGGAGGTTAGGAAGAAAGGGATTAGAGGGGGAGGTTAGAGAGGTGTGAGGAAGGAGAGTGAAGAGGATAGGGAGGCGAAGAGAGTTATGAGGAGGAAATAGGAAGGCGACTTTAGAGGATAGTGAAGGAAGGTAGCTAGAGGAAGGGGAGGAGGAGAAGGGAGTTAGAGTGAGGGAGTGAGGAAAGGGAGTTAAGAGAGCGGAGTTAGCCGAGGGAGTGAGGGAAGGGAGTTAAGAGGAGGGTAGTGAGGGTGGCAGTTAGAGGAGCGTAGTGGAAGGAGTTTAGAGGGAGGAGGTGAGCGGAAAAGATGTTGTAGAGGGGAGTGATGGAAGGGAGTTAGAGAGAGAGGGAGGAGGGTTAAAGGAGGGTAGTGAAGAAGGGAGTTAGAGAAGGTTAGTGAGAAACGAGTTAGAGGAAGTTACGTGAGAAAGAGAGCTAGAGGAGGGGAGGAGAGAAGGAAGTTAGAAGGAGGTAGTGAGGCAGGGGTTAGAGGAGTAGTGAGAGGGAGTTATGAGGAGGGTAGAAGGAGTTAGAGGAGGGTAGTGAGAAGGATACATAGGGTTAGAGCGCAGGGGTAGTGAGGGAAGAGTTTAGAGAGAGGTAGTGATGAAGTGATTAGGAGGTAGTGATGGGAAGGATTGAGGAGGGATGAGGGAAGGGAGTTAGAGGGGTAGTGAGGGAAGGAATTTAGAGGAGGGTAGTGAGGAGGAGAGTTGGAGGAGGGGAGTGGAGGAAGGGTAGAGAGAGTAGTGAGGAAAGGAGGTTAGAGAGGTAGTGAGGAAGGGCAGTTAGGAGGGTAGTGAAGGGAAGGAGGTTAGAGGAGGGGTGAGGAAGGAGTTAGAGGAGCGGTAGTGAGGCAAGTAGTTAGAGCGAGGGCTAGTGAGGGAAGGGAGTTAGAGGAGGTGTAGGGAAGGGTGAGAGGAGCGGATTTAAGAGGAGGGTAAGTGAGGCGTAAGGAAGTTAGGAGAGGGAGTGATGGGAAGGGGTTAGAGCGAGGTATGAGGAAAGAGATTGAGAGGCGAGTGAGGGAGAGGGATTATGGAGGGTAGTGAGGGGAGCGGTGGAGGAGGGGTGAGGGAAGGGAGTTAGAGGGGTAGTGAGGAAGGAGTTGAGGAGTAGTTGAGGTAAGCGAGTCTAGAGGAGGTAGTGTGAGAGTAGAGAGGGAGTAGAGGAGGCGTAGTGTAGGAAGGAGTTAGGAGAGGAATGAGTGAAGGAAGGAGTGATGGAAGGAGTTAGGAGGTTAATGAAGAGGGGTTAGCAGAGGTATGAGGGAAGAGAGTTGGGAGGAGTGAGGGAAGGGAGTTAGAGGAGGGTAGTGAGGGAAGGGAGTTAGAGGAGGGGAGTTAGAGGAGGGTAGTGAGGGAAGGGAGTTAGAGGAGGTTAGTGAAGGAAGGGAGTTAGAGGAGGGTAGTGAGGGAAGGGAGCTAGAGGAGGGGAGTTAGAGGAGGGGAGTGAGGGAAGGGAGTTAGAGGAGGTTAATGAAGGAAGGGAGTTAGAGGAGGGTAGTGAGGGAAGGGAGTAAGTGGAACCACATGGTGCTGATCTCCGTGTCTCCTCCGCAGGGATCCCCAGCCTTGTCGTTCTGGACGAGGAGGACCAGCTGGTGACGAAGGAGGGTCGCGCGTACGTGAACGAAGACCCCGAGGGAGAGGACTTCCCCTGGTTCCCGACCCCCCTGACGGAGCTCACGGGCGCAGCAGCGAGCAAGCTCAATGAGGATCCGTGCCTCATCCTGTTCACGCGTACGTGCGAAGCTATGTCAATGTAATGTGCACTCGCTTAACACTCACCATGACCCTAACCCTAACACTAACCCTAACTCTGACCCTGACCTTGACCCTGACCCTAACCCTAACCCTGACCTTAACCCTAACCCTAACCCTAACCCTAACCCTAACCCCAACCCTAACCCTGACCCTAACCCTGACCCTAACCCTGACCCTAACCCTGACCCTAACCCTAACCCTAAACCTGACCCTAACCCTAACCCTAACCGTCACCCTAACCATAAGCCTAACCCAATCTTAGCAATGACTCTAACCCTAATCGTAACCCAACCCTAGCTATGACCCTAACTCTAACCCTAAGCCTCACCCAAATCCTAACACTAACCCTAACACTAACTAACCTTAACCCTAACCCTAACCCTAACCCCAATCCTAGCTGCGTCCCTAACCATAACCGGCAACTTTCCATCATTTAAACCCTTTTTACGTATTTAGCACCATCAAATACATGAATACATGCATTAAAATAGTAAGTATAGCTTGGTTGCGAGGTAAGGAGAGTCAAAATTAGTTTGTGTTAAACAATTTAAATGTATTGAACAGGGATTTTCATGGTAGTCTCTTTTTTATGGCTATCTTTGTTTTCTCAGTGTTATTAGGTACACGTTTACTTCCATACAGCCATACTAAAATACGTATAATGTTAGCGGGTGTAGCAGTCAGTGGGTTTCACGACATAAACGTATGCTGCTTCTCTTCGCAGTGGGTCGTGAGGAGGACGAGGTCATGGCAACGGACCTGCTAGCGGACGTGGCCGAGGATCACTTCCAGAAGGGGGCGCAGCAGTCTCTCTTCTTCTACTACGCTCTCGACGTGAGTACCACCTGCTGGCCACGCTGCGCCGCGGCAATGTCGGCTCGCGCCAAATCTCTCCCATCGAGGAGTTGTTGTGTTTACTTTCGAACGAGACTCTGACTTCAGTGCGATATGCACATTTCTCTGATGAAATCGCAGTCGTTAAAACGAATATAAGTTAAAGGTATGTAAAAAAAAATTTTTTTTTATTTCCTCTTCCATAAAATTTTCACCCCCGATTCCACTTTCGCGCGAGGAATTAATTTTCGGAGGCGAGCGCTCGCGGTCGCCTTGGTTACGCGCCACCGCGTTACGTATGCAGATGCCGCAATCAATCGCGCTGCCGGGGACGAACCGACGCGTCTTGACCCGCGAGAGATTTATCGCTCTCCTCCAAGCACCCCGCTGTGATCTATTGATCCCCTCCTCCCTCTCACCCGTAATCGCTCGCGCGGCGGCGCCGCAGCCGGACGCGGTAATCGCGCGCGCGGCAGTGATTGCGAACTTCCTGCTGATTGATTCCGCCGGCGCGACTTCTAACTGCTTACTGTGCGGCGGTCGAGTCGTTTGGTGAAGTGGACGTGGGTCGACCCTTCGAAGTGGTTTCTGCATCCTGGCGCGATGGGTATGCAGAGACCCGGGATGTGCTGCGGCTGCGTGTTGTACAGTCAAACCTCGCTTATCCGAACATCAATTATCCGAATTTCGAGAGATTTCGATTAATTACAAGATCTCAAGGTCCTGTGAATATTTAATAAGACACTAGACCACCCGTGACCCGTTATGAAGAGTTATGAGAGGTTATGAAGAATTCAAGCTAATTTAAATATTGCACCGAAATGAATGTATATTTTGAGATAATTAAATTAAATATTTCAATCCATTCGTGTTATTCAGAATTTACGATCAGATCAGTTATCCGAACAAAATACTCCCCGACCGCCTCGTTCGGATAATCGAGGTTTAACTGTATTTGTTAGAAGTGTTCGGCAATGAGCGAGATGATGTGCATTCTCTCTATGTGACATACTAGCTCTACTCAGTCTCTTCGCCAGCATCTTCTCATTGCTATTTTCTTCTTCTTTGTCGTCTTCCTTTTCCTAATCCTACTTCTCCTTCTCCTGTGCCACCTTTTCTTGTCTTTTCTTTATCTTTTTGTTTTGTTTTGACCGTTTCCGCTGCTTCCTTCCTCCTACTTCTCATAATGCCTCGGTTTGCTTCTACTTCTTTCTTTTTCTTCTTTTTCATTTGCCTCATTTTTCCCTGTTTTCCATTTCTTTTTTTTCTTCTAGTTTTTCATCTACATTCTCTACCTCCAATAAAACTTAGAGCATCACCCGTTGCCCTCCCGTGCCCCTGTCCACCCCTGCCC